TGAATAACCCCAGGTAAGCGAAAATTTGACTAGGTTGAGATTTGCCGAGCCACTGCCTTTAACGGCTTGTGTGCCTGCAATTTGCCAACTTCAGTATTTTATTCTTTTTTCTTCTCTTTTAGTGTTCGAGTAGCTGAACATAGGTAGAAGGAACTTTTCTCAGAAGTTTATTACATTTGAACAGTACTTACTTTTTCTAAAGTAAGTTGTCGTAAAATGGCAGGTGCGCTGTGCATTCTCACAAATCGGCTTACAACTGACTCTTCTATGTTTGTCATGAGCGCGTTTTTCATATTTTGCTTGTACAGATTAAATACTAGTAAACCTCGACTTAATAGGATTTTATGTGCAAAATCTAATTCATACAATTTTCAATGCTTTCCTTGCTTGGGACAATTTTTGATGCTCTCCTTGTTATACGCTTCTCGATTTATGTGACTTTCGCCTCTCAAAGTGAGTAACTCTCATGATAATATTTTTTTTCGTTATGAAACATGACCAACATCGTTATCCTTGATTTATGTTTTTGAATTAAACAGCTTCGCTGTGTCATCTCATTTCCGCTCGTGATTACGAAATCTGAAACTGTGATAAAAATTAAAAATCTGCGACTTCCTTGAAAAGACAACATAATAAGCATACGGGCTTTCGTCGGCACACCATAATGGTTGTCATGCAAACGACCTGCATGGCCTCCTTAGCTGTTCTTTGTTCTTTGAGCCAGACATTCTGCAAAGCCTCTCTTGACAGAAATTCGCCGATTGATACTCTGCTCTCTTCTTCTGCTCCCCGGTACTCAGTTCCTCTTTGACAAACAGATGATACATCTTCTTCTCACATCTTCTTCTCTACTTACTTGCATGCTATCGAAAATCTGGAATATGTGAATTTGAAAAAATTGCCCGAACAGCCTTCTTCTAAAAATATGATGTTTGTTGCTATGTAAAAACTTGCCCAGTTGGAGCCATTGAGTTGGATAATTTCCGTCCCATTTTTTTTGATTTCCAGACGCTTTCTAGAATCCCTCAAAGGTAGAGCATAACAGATGTAAACATCAGCATGATCGATGCCGCAAATGCACAGATAGTCAGCAAGTTTACGACAATTTTGTAAACATGCTCAAACTTTCATTGCTTCTTTGATTTTTTTCCTCTGCTTCTCCTCGTCCTTTTTCTGTCCTATAATTTTTCCAATGTATTAGTACCATCTTTTCTATACGCTCGGTGCCGCTATCGTTTCATAATGAAGGGTCCCAAAAATTCTAAAAATCTAAAAACCGATCTAAAAGAAATGGTTTGCTACAGTCAATATGCCAACCCATCCTCAAAATGTTAGTCTTATCTTCAACAAAAGTTGATTTTGAAGACTGCAATGCTTTGGATTGCTGAATTTTCTAAAAATTTCTGTTCTTTTCCAACATTTTTATTTTCAGTTTGGTTTTGTTTTCGAAAAAGAAATTAATTTTAAATAAGCCATGTTTTGATGTATCGTGTGTATAGATGAACCACCCTCTGTAATCAATGTGCATGCCAGATTACTCTTGTTGTCTGCGTCTCTTCTGATCGCGTCACACCTCGGAGTCTGCAATGACGTATTGCCCGCGCGTACCAGCCATATCTCTGTTATTTGTCAGTCATCCTGTCCAATACTTTTACTCCAGATTTCTGTAAATTTCTCAGTCCTTCTGCAAAATTTCTACTATATTCAGTTTTTCACCTTTGAAAAATTTTTTAATGAGAGTGAGTTCAACAGTTAACAACCGCGTACATTTTAAACGTACTAGACATACTTAAAACGCTTTGTTGAATAATAATCTCGAGTCAACGGTTAGAAAACCGGTCCGAGGTGATCACATGGTGACAATGTCGTCGCGTTCACCTGGCGACGAGGCTTAAGCATATTTAATTCTGTTAACTTCGATAGCTGTTGGAACTGTATATCGATATCCCATTCTTTTCCGCTCTTTTTGCTTTCACATAAAACTCTGCTTTTTCTGAGTGTTTTAGTTGCTTAGGAATCCTTAGAACTTGAAAATTTTTGCTTTGAGGTCACGAAGTCGATTTTAACGTTTGGCACTCTATGCTTACCTATTTTTTTTCATTGAACTCAATCTTAGACATTATCTCCTTTCCTTTGTTCTTATTGGCTCAGGTTCCTTTATTTCTTGTTTGAACTTTTAATCATTCCGCGTCCAGATAACAGAATCCCAAGATGGACAAAATTGAATCCACTACCAATCGATAACCAGCAGGTGACCAATAGTGTCTTTGTTCAACAATGATGCTGGTAACAAGATTAGGTCGGCACCTTTTTTTCTAGAAGAGCCATTTTGCTTCCTTGAGGTTTCGGACTTCATTTTAGCTAACATCTTTTATCTCTTTGCTCCCATTATGAAAAATTCGCGCTATTTTAGGAATTTTGTGAAAAGAATTATAAAGGGTGTTCTTTTTCTGATTTTTTTGTTGAGTGATCTCAAATCTCTGTGCTATTCCAAATCTCATTATTATGCTTCTTTTCTATCTTCCCATTTTTGACGTATGTCTCAAATTTTGTGTCCCTACGTAAAGACCTTCGATCGACACACATTTGCTTGACTAGTAAGAGTACGTCATCACTGACTGTTCCAGAATTTACCATGGAGTTCTAAAATTCTTGCCGCCAAAATCCAAAAAAGCGGAACTCAGAAACCTTCCTCCTTGGTTCATTCTCTGAATCCTGTTCTTGATGAGAATTCGCTCAAATGTTACGAATCGCAACTTTCCTTCAAAAAAAAATAAAATGCGCAATTTGGTTGCGATATCAGGAAGCCAGATCTTCTGAGATAAAATTATGCGGAATGTTTCAACCCATATTATTGGAGGCCGTTGTAGAATGTAGAAATTTTAGTGGGAGTTGAAATCGCGGAAACAAACCATATTATTTCTATATCCTCAAAAGCTTCTGCTTAGCCTCGATGTTACTGTGATCTTAGAATTTTATGAATTTTTGCAGGAAAATTTTGTGATCCGCGAAATCTCCTCTTTTACACTTCTTTTGCTTCCACCACATAACTCCCTTTCCCATGCGTTTCGACTAGCAATAAATTCAGGCTTGCTAGGCAGTCTATCGCTGTTATAAAATCTTAGTAAAAATATTAAAATTTTGCGATATATTAACCGAGACAATCCAGGATGCTATTATCTCCTTGCTCATGATTAAAGTAATTTTATTCATTCAATAAAATTTTGCACATTCATGCACGAATATCTTGTCCTTCAGAAGAGTTTCCTTGCCTTTGGTCTTTAATGATAACCGTCTATTCGCTATTCTTATGCGTGCATTTTTTCAATTTTTGAATGTATCTATTTATTGATTGTGTCTGTAACAGTAACTGGTTGAGTTTTATGTTAGCATAAGTATGATAACATATTTAACCTTTTCATCTCACATTCCTTTGGGAAAATTTAGAACATCTGCGGCTAGCGTTGCTTCCGAAGTGGACGACTCGTCCTCGTGGGTCGATGTATTTTTTTATACCTCATCAGATTTGCCCATAGTAATCAATTCAATCAGATCAACTTTATCGAAAGACACCTACCACACTTTATCTGAAATCTGCTTTTCCAGTCCTTGAAAATTTTACGTAAACAAAAATCCATTGAACTTTCCTTGCAAATTGTCCCGGATGCCCTTTAGAAATTTTCTATGACGTCAAATATTCCATTTTCACAGCTCATTGCCACCGCAGCTGCTAAATTCTGCTGTTTCATGCTTTCTTTCTCTCTGCAACAAGGTGCATACGAACTGTTATTTACATTGTCGAGTTCTGACTGAACTGTGTTTCATTTTGTAAAAACTTGCACCAGTCATCAATTTGCACACAGCCGTTACTTCATGATCGATTTTACACCAGTAATTTTTCTAAAATGATTTATAGGGGGAAATATGCGTATTCTTCTCTCCAGAGGGTCTTAACACAATTTTTCGTTTTTGATTCGCCTTTGTCGTCGTTCGTTGTCGCATTTGAGCATAGAAGCACCACCTGACCAAGTTGGGGATGGTGAGATTTTGATGATGCATATATGATAGCGGGGCCCATAACTAACAAGGGAAGGATGGTTGGTCGAAGTGGCCTTTTGAGATGGGTTGTGTACCCTGGTGGAGGTGGTGGAGGGCATAAAACGCTGATTTCAAATCTTTCTTTCTTATCTGCGGCACATTCCTGGACGAGGAGTTATGAGCGTTTGAAGGAGCAAAAAATGAGTGTTTTTCTGGGATAAAAACGTTGGCTAAAATTTTCCAAGCGCTTGAATGAGACAGCCGGAGCGTGGATATATCTCACCTAAGAGTATTTATTTTACAGAGTGCTGGAAAGATTACCGCTGGTCCATTTAAGCGCTAGGAATAATGTTGCTATTGTTTTTAATATTCTTTGCACATTTAATTTTTTCCCCAATAAACGCTCATAACTTCCCTTTTGCAGGGAAGTGCTGCAGGTAAGGAAGAAAGATTTAAAATCAGCGTTTTGTGCTCTCCAAGATGGTATATAAATCATCGCAAAAGGCCACTTCGACTGACCATCCTTCCCTTGTAAGTTATCGCCCAAATCCTGCTGCAAAAGATAAATCCGGGAGTAAGAAAATAGCTTCAGAAGCTAGAAGCGGCCAAGGTGGCTCCGCCCATCAATGTGGGTGGTCTTGAGATAACAGTCCGAAATTGGACTTCAATGTGTTTAGAAATGTCATAAATTCACCCTTCGTTGTAATTATCAGATTTCTAACATTTCTATCTACCCTGGAGCCCATTTCTGGACTTGTCTTCAGACCACTCACGGGGTGGAGCATTCCTGGCCTTTTCTATTTTCTGGAGCGATTTTCTCGCTTCGGAATTCATCTTTCGCAGCGAAATTTGGGGTGATTACTTAGTTAGGGGTCCCGCTATTATACATCATCAAAATCTCATCCCCGATTTGGGTGGACGGTGTCTGAAATCGTTTCTGCTCGCAAAGTGATATTTTATTTTTAGCATGACCAACAGTAACTCGTCCGCATCACAACCAGAAGAATTATGCCTTGTTTGTCAAGATATTTCCACAGGCTATCACTATGGTGTCCCGTCATGCAATGGATGGTATGCTTTTTGCTGTTACTGGCTTTCTGCAATCTCCCCTTGAAGAAAAATGTTTTTAGCAAAACATTTTTTCGGCGGACAATCATGAAAAACCAGAATTTTGTTTGTCAATATGAAGGAAAATGCCCCGTTGATAAAAGTAAGTCCAATTCTCACCTTGTGGCACACAAATCGTTTATTTTGCTTTTACTGTTTAGTATGCACATTAAAGAGAAATTCCACACTTTATCTTTTCGCAATTTCATTGTCTCGCGTTTTGCACAAAACTCTCAAGAAACAGCCCTTTTGCACAACTCCAATATATACAGGGTGTCCCAAAAGTAAGTACACACTTCTCAATCGTTAATATCTCTCTTCCCATTGTGTTTTTTCCGCCATTCAAGTACCATTCTTTAGAGGAGCCTTCAGCTTAGATTTGCAGTGAGCGAGTCACCAATCGCTCTTTATTACTGTAGGATTACTGTAAGAACTTTGACGAGGATTTTAGGCCATTGGTAGCCATATTCCGCCTCGGAACAAAACCAAACAAGCCTTAAACTCTTATACTACGGTAATTGAAGCCGCTGATTTCGAATATAAAATTTTCACTTTACTATGATGCTTCTTTCTGAAGTTATCCCAAGAAAACCGTAAATGTGATTGCACCGTCAAAAAAGTGAAAACACTCATAAAAAGTTGTTTAGTGGAATCAGCGCGCACGAAAACTCTAGTACAAGATTTTTCAGATTTTTTGAAAAAAAAATTGTGAGATGGCATTTTTTATTGTGGTTCCACATGCTGGAAGTTCTTACCGTAAATACAGTAACGAAGAGCGATCGGCGATTCGATCGATACTGTAAAGCTAAGTTGAAGCCTCCTCTACAGAATGGCAGTTGGCTGGCGAAAAAAAATCCATTGGGAAGAGAGATATTGACGATCGAAAAGTGTGTACTTACTTTTGGGACACCCTGTATTATCTCCGTGAGGTGTGCAAAATAAGTTAGCGCTTTACATAGTGTCCTTGCGGTGCCGACAGCATTTGCGCGTGTGTCAGTTTGTTCAGTTTCGCACGTAAAATTGCCATAGAGCGCATATCTCGGAATTCTGCAATTCATAGGTTTACGTGCAAGTGCTGTCGACACCGTGAAGGCACTACATGAACCTTTTTATGTGCACATGTTTTATACCAACATGTGCGAAAAGGCACTTACTTTCGTGATTGCTTGGGCAAAGAAACTTACAATTTATGTCGCTAGTACGAGTTTGCTTTTCTAGTGCGCTAGAATTACTGTATCGTATGATTACGGTAATAAGTACGGTAAATAATGCGTTCCGGTAGCTTTTATCTTACTATTGTTAACTCAGGTATTCGTTGTGCATGCCGACATTGCCGCTTTGAGAAATGTTTGCAAGTTGGAATGGACCGGAATGGTAAAAACTGATTATGATTTTTGTTGCCTTATCTACGCTTGACAAATTTGGTGTTTTTTCTAGCAATTCAGCAAAATCGTGACCCTATCGGTTACACTAAACGAACACGACGATATCCGCCAATCAAACGAGTCGAAAGTGGTTCAGAAGAGTGTTCGCCGAAGAGCAGCTTATTGGTGGGTTCAGGTGATCTTAGGTTATTTAGGAAACATCTGGGTGGGACCACCTCTTTGCCACGATATTTAAGGGTGACCTGACTTGAAAGCTTTGCATCTAACTATTGAACCTGGTAATTTCTGTCTACTATGAACCACATTCAGAGTGCTAACGAATCTGCCGAAGATGCATTCCTGACTTATTTGGCAAAAGTCGAAGGCCTTGCACAAACGTTGCGATTGAGCAAATATACCTCAAATAGCCATCTGATCGAAGCGGTGACAGCGCCTTGCTTGCTAGTTGATGAGAGCTTCATGACAACGAATTCAGAAGTGGTGAGTATAGTTATAGATGTTCTAAAATTTTCTTTCCCTAGGCGATGACTAGACAAATTCGCGCACCAACCTCAAACTCTTACCCAATACCGTAATCGAGCGCCTGGTCCAGATGGAAAGATACGATAGTGGGCAAGCACAGATAAATGAATTCCTTGGCCCTGAATGAATCCGCATGCGCCTTGGGCACTAGCTTAGGGAGGATTCATTAAGAGGATTCGTTGAGTTACAAAGAAGCGCTGTTACCAAATTTTACCTGCCTATATATTGCTTTTATTCCATTTCATTTATTATCCTATATTCTATTCATTACGTCAATTTTCCATTTGTATGTCTTTGCAAATCTGCATGAGTGCCTCTTTTTTACTTATATCCCCTGAGAACAAAGATTACAAAGATTATCCCTATCACACTCAGCTCCTAATCTACTGTTAATCACCCCTGCGACACAGTGTCGTAACTTCCGGGATTGCGTTCTTTGGACGTTTCTGGGTTTGAATCGAGTAGCAGTAGAAAGTGATAATGTGCCAAAATTCTTGAGTAGTGGACCATACGTCGCCGATAGGCTTCATCCGTTCGGACAAGCGGCACGAGCTCGAAATGTGTAAAAGTGCATGTTTTGTTGCAAATGTTCTCGCGTCACCCGCCACTTCGGAGACATAATGCCATGTTTACGACTTGAATCTATTCAAATTTTATTTTTCTTGCTCTTATCATAAACATATCAGAATTGTTTAAAAAAATTTTGACTTCACTTTGTTTTTACAGCCAAACAAGACTGCTCATCAAGTTCTTTCTACCAATTTTGAAAAAATGATAATGCCAATATCAGCCCGAAACAGTTGCTGTTGTGAATCACTCTATCAATATGCTTGCAGAAAAAAAATTGATCATATCTTTTCGAACCCCAGCAAAAAAAAAAATATAGCGCAGAGCGCAGAATTGACGGTCATCACTGTGTTCCTGCTTTGTGGGCAATACCGGGATGCAATAGGTGCGCTATTATGCGTTAATTGCAAGCAAGTTGTTGGCGTTACCGTATGACGTTCCATTTCGCGCGATTGTTGTCGTCGCCGCAAAGACACTATATGCTAACCGCCAAATATATTACATTGTATATATCCACATACATAACATCCTGACCTCAAAAATGCTCGAAAAATTTTTGGAAAGACAGCTGAATTCAGAAATGTCAAATTCTACCGCACCTCTACAATGGCGGAAAAATTGTATATATTCATGCTGTAAGAAAAGCTTATTTAGATAGTGAGGAGTTTTCCCATTCGTTTACGTTTTGCTTTAAGAGGCAAGAAAAAAAAAGGTTTTCATATATTCCTTCTTGCCGATGCAGGAGATACCGTATACCGTATACTTGCGCAGCAGAAACCTGAGTTTGAGGCGAATTGTCTTAGCTTCCATGTTTTTCTGGACAATTTGCTATACTGTCCTCATGAAATGAATTTTCGAATGAATTGCTCCAAAAATATTATCAATCCATGTCCGCAAAAACAACGATGTTAATTCAGTGATTTGTAGACTTGATTTTGCATAGAAATCATGAAAGCGCATTAACTCCACGCTGTTCCAGGCACCACATCACTCATACACTCAACTACATTACGCTACACAATCCGATTACCATTATTGGTATGAGCGTGACTGGATGGTAATGATTGAATGGGCAAAAACTATACCAACTTATGAACGATTGCCACTGATCGATAAGGTGCGTGGCTACATTCGCGTGTAAAGCGTGGTAAAAGCTCTCAGAAGGCAAAAACTTTAGAGTTAAAACACTTGTGGGCGGAGCTTGGAGTTCACATACTGTCCGTGAATGCCCATTTTTTATTTCAGCTTGCTTTGCTCCGACATTCCGCAATCACGTACCCCAGCCTTATTCACACTTTCTTCTCACCCGATCATGGCCTTGATACCATTGTCTTTCCGAATGGCGCCTATTTCGACAGGACAAATGAGCCAATGAGGTATACAAGATGTAGATCGTGATTGTGGACCCTTTCGCACCGTCGCCTTACTGTGGGCTTACGGTAAACACGCAGTGCAGAGAAGGCAGCGAACTAATCGCCTTTCTTCTGCGTCTCTGTCATCATTTATATGCTTATAAGAAGCATTAATGATTCCAAATGATGTTTTGAGAGAGTCACAGAGAGCGAACGACAAACTCGTCCTCATACCTGCCCTCTAGGCACGGGTCTTGCAACGAAATGCTACTCTAACTTAGTAAGCCTAAGGTGACGGTGGGAACAATCGTTCAACACAAAATTCTTGCCATACAAAGCAGATTAAGATTACAAATCCGCAATTGCAGACCGACAGGATTCAATCGTAAGAAATATCAAATGCTCGATCAGTTGCTGAAGCCAATGCGAGAGATGGAAATTGACACCACAGAATTTGCTGCCTTCAAAACAATCTTCTTTTTGAATCCGGGTAAGTCTACAAGCATCTGACGATATGGAATATCTTATAGGCTGTCCCAATGACGGTGTCGTTTGCACCACGGCGCGCATTTGCGTGTTCGCGCTGGAGCTGGCGTTACGTGTGCGGACGTATTCTCTGGGCATATTCTCACTCCTAAGGGTCATCAAAAGTTCTCAGGTTTAGCTAAATGTCCAAAAGAGGTTTGCAGATGCGCAAGCGACAAGCGAGATGGCGCGAGACTGAGTTGAAGTGCAAGCGACACTGTCGTTGACACATACTGTATGTAGCTTGTGCCAACGCCCTATATATCCAGATCAGTTGCCTACCCCCCCCCCCTCTTTAAAAGAGTAAACTTTTGTTTTTTGTACTGATCAACGAAATTTCAGATGCTGACGATGTCAGCTCTGCCTCCAAACAAACGCTTAGTGAAGGCCGAAGCTCGGTAACAAATGCGCTTTATCGGTATATGCTGCGAAAACGTGATGCTGAAGAGGCTGGTGATAGGTAAGCGTCTGAGGGAAAGTGGACAACTGACACATGGACTGCACTGTATAATTTGCAGATTTGGGCGACTTTTGCTGCTCGGCACAGTGCTAGCTACAATGGCCGTCGAAATGAAGGAAGCTGTACTTGTCGCAGACTTTTTTGATCAAATCAAATTCAGCACATTTGCCAAACAATTACTATTTGGCATTAAACAAGAAACAGTACAGTCGTAAATTACGACTCGTAATGTTCCTGCGTTGCACATCCGCCTTGCGCGCTGCGGGTGAGTAGGTGAACGCAAAAGGGACAATGCCATTGAAATAGACACTACTCATTAGTTGTACAATTAGGAGATTTAGATAGGTGTTGCGGCTTGCTTAGTGCATGTAGAACTTACCCACCACTTAAGTGTTGTCACATTCGCATAAGCTCTGTACCTTATTCAGCCTACCTCTAACGACCTCACATTTATCCAGTGTATCTATTATTCACTCATTATTGTTCTTTTACCATTCATTCCTATTGTACATTCGGCTTAGAGCGCAGAGTATATAATGATTATGTCGCTGCCGTTGCATTGTTATTTTAATACGCAATACATGTGAAAGTTATGCGTCGCGCATGCGAAGCGGTAGATCGACGTCGACGCAAAAATCGATAACCATTCAACGCGTTAGCTGAACGCTTTGTTGCTGCTAATGCGGCAGCAGCACGTCCCTAATTTAGAATAATATAGTTTCTGATTCTGCTCTATTCAGACCTCAAGCACAGATTTCTTTCCTATGCTCATTACTTTGTATATTTTCTGTGATTGCACCATGTGAAGTTTTTATGACACACTTTGTAATCAGACATCGTTATGTGATACAGAGGTATTCGATCCGTCCGATCTCAGGGACTAATAATGTTCTTGTTTTCAAATGATAAATTTCTATAAATCTTGAATCAAACTGTTTTAGCGGATGCTTGGTTATGTCATCTGCAAAGTATGGACGAGTCAACGCACGCAGAGGCTGATCATAGTTGCGTCTTATTGAAACAATACGTGTTTGGAAGAGGCAGCAGACGGTGAGGGAGTTAAGAGAGCGCTTGAACAAAGAGATGCCGACGGCTATGCAATAGCGCCCGGGAGACGGTCTTTTCGCACGGGCGGTCTCCAGCGTCTCCCTGATCTTGACTTGTCTTAACATGTAATGCACGCCGCAAATCTTTCCTCCCCGTGTTTTGCTTAGGCAAAAGCCGCCGCAGGGTGTGTCGCGCGCGGCAGTGGTCCTGTGTGGAAAGCATTACGGTCGTGCGAAACGTCACACACCCATAGCGCCCTGTCTCTGCGTGCAATGATTCGTGTACATGTATACACAAGTTATTACGTGTAAGGCGCCATTACCAAAAACGCTGTTTGATAAACAGTGAGATGGCCCACAAAACCAGATTACGACCATGTTTCCGGAAACTATGAACAGCGTGATTCACTGATAACGAATGTGAGTCATCATTTTTTGGCATAGAAATTCCACAAATGACCAGCTAGAAATTGCCAAATAAGAACCGGTTTGTAAACTGCTAGTAGCCCATCCGGTCAGATAGATATCAACAGAGAAGTTGGAGAGCTTTGGGGACAGTAAAGAGGCCAGCTTTTCATTTGACCTTTTATGTTGGACGAGACAATTCATTGAAAAAAAAAGCACATTTCAGGCGTATCTATGCACACCTGTACTACTAAGGAAGAAACTTTTCATTTTATCTTTCCTGAAATAAAAAAAAATCTCAAAAACCACATTTCAGGGCATCTATGTACACCGTATAAATATTTAAAAAAAGAAAGAAGGATCTGGCCGGATTATTCTAGCACCAGTCTACCGTTGCCGAGGGATTTAGAGCGTTAAAATGACCAGGAGCGGAGATCAATCCGTCAATCTCATACTTATGGCGGCGCGTCATACCACTACACCATATCACCTACCACCACGCGAGGGAGATGCAGAGCCTGCTCTCCCACGCTTACGTGCTCTCTAGTCGATTGAAGCCCCGCCCTCCAGCCGCCTACTCCGATGAAACAGTGGGTAATGCTGCAAAAGCATCATGACGAGAATTTTGATTTCATTTTTGAAGAAAAAATGCCTGAGGGACTAAGACCACTACCTGCGCATCTTACGCCTGGAAAGCTGCCGATAAAAGGTGATCTAGAACATTTTCCAAGATATATCAGATTCCACGGCCGGGAGATCACCTGTGTTAGGGAAAGTCTGCTGAGCAGTCACACGAGTGATTGTGGACTTTTGCGCTTTACTTCTCTGTAGGATTTCCTATACCTCAGCCAAAACTTCAAAGATACTAAGGTAAAAAATTCGAGTGGGCCAAAATGTTTTGTACGATACCCCATCATTTCTTATTATAGCAAACGAATCGGCAATCACATCCTTTGCGAGTGTAGTGAAAATATTAAAATATTCTCTACTTGCAGCATCGTTACAATTTCACGACAGCAGAAAAGATCTTTGAATAACGAATAAAAAATCTTTTGAGATTGGTGTACATACGTCCCAATTGCCCTCAAGAGCATTAGTTCTTAATAAAGAACCAAGACTTTTTGAACAAAACTTTCAGCTGTGTTTTTCGACCACTGATGTCTTTTTATAGCTTTGTTGGTCTATATGATTACGAAGAACGTTCAAGGTGTGCTGCGACAAGACTAACATCTCATAAAGGTCTATAAAAAGCCATGTTGATCACTAGACTTTTTCCTCGTTTTGTATCAGTCATAAATCGTGCAAAACACATTGCAACTCATTTTATTCCATTTAAAATAGCTTTCGTCATTTTACCAATGCGGCGCCCTCGAAACGATGTTAAGCGATCAAAAGCGATCACTGTCGTTCATTTAAAAGTCACTTTGCAGCTGCTTGTGTACGGATAGATTCGTGTGACGAATCTGGTTTCATCGCAACACTCTATCGATTCGTTGCCATTTCTCAGATCTCTTCCAAGTCGACCTGATTTGCATGTAATTTCCGATAATTCATTCCACTGATCACTGATTTGCTCTCCTCTGACATCAATTTTCTCAGAAATTTCCGAAGTCTGCTAATCACAGAGCGAAATTTGCGTCAATAACATATTAAGTTGTCCCAAAGTTTTGTCGGTTTCTTCAAACCGCTATAAAACCACGCACAATAAGATCTGAGTTTCAACATGCAGTCGATGCAGCTTCTCCTCTTTCTTACGGTCACATTTTTTTAGCCACAATCCTGTATGCTTTTTTTGATAATTGCCACCATTCTTCGCCCGTCATTTTTACCTGCTCAAAGTTAGGCTAATTTTCGAAAATTTCATTTCAAAGTTTCGGAAAGGGTTAAGTATAGCACAAACAGAACAATTCTTGGACTATACGGTAATATTTTTAAATTCTCGTAACCTGCTGTTTTTAGCTTCAAAAAATTATTTCTTCGAAGGTCTCGATTTTTTGGCAAAGTCATGGAACCCACATTGTGGCAGAGACAGGAAAGCTTTTGGAGATTTCTGCGAATTGAAACTTGATTTTTAATGAACATTATTTATGCAACATAACCAAGTTTAATCTGCTTTGAAAAATCAGTTTTTGGAATTTTCAGTAATTTACGTGGCAGATGTAATCAAAACGCTGCGGTTTTACTTAACCACTTATTTAAGACTTGATAAACGTAGCAAAGTAATCTAAAGTAAGTACAGTGTAGCCAAAAATTTGCTCTACATAACAGTTATTAGTGCTCTTTGAAAATAGCAAAAAATTTGTTTTCAAAATTCGGGAAAGATTTGGCGTCACTGTTGTGCTGCTCAAAAAGCCATGGCGAAGACGTCGTAAAGACAGAGTAGACCAGAGAGCAAATATAGCTGTAAGAAAGAGGATAAAAATATGAATATGTAACGCAAATCCAAACCAAAAAATCTTGAAAACACTGTAATGATCGATTGCTGTATCACATTACTTATGAAAATTTCATTCGTGTTCATCTCAACATCCTCAGTTTCCATACAAAATGAATTCTTATGTCTTGCAATTGAGGTCAAACTTTCACTTCCTAGGAGCAGATATTCAGCACATCGTTCAAACCAAAATTGTTATGTATTTGGAATAAAGCGATTTTCAGTAATCTGCAATGAAGACATGCACATTGTGCACGAAATCATGCACATAAATCCACTCTTTTTAGAAAAAAACTCGAGTTTTCTCTAAAATTTTGTAGTTTCTGCCAAGCTGCAAAAAAATATGGCTTTTGATAAACGTCAAAGGACCTTGAGAACTTTTCCAAATTGCACGGCGTTTGGCCAAACCGTGATTTTTATGCGATTTTTTGATTTCCGTTAAAGCACTCTACAGCTCATCGTCAACATAAGATTATTTACAACAAGTCCTACGTCGTAATTTTGTGGAGACCACAGAAATTTTGCAATTACAAATTTAAGTATTCGGCGAACATACCTGTACGCGAACTCATGTGCAAGATATTACGAATAACTATTGGAAAAAATTCTATCCATCAGATAATTTTTGAACACCAGTTACAAAACAGCAATTATCAACAAAAAAAACTATGCCATAGTGCTAAAAAACAAAAATGGCGAACTCAGGAAGCGAACTCATCCGTTTGAATTTGGGATAAAAGCTCGGAATGAATGTTTTCCCTACAAATATTTATGGAGCATTCGGATATTTAGAAATTAAAACTGTCAAAATCTTATGCTACACTGCTGAAAACAAAAACCTCTGTCGACAGCAAAATCCACCGTTTTCTAGCTTCACGCTAAATTAGTTGAAACTTTTTTGTTTATGATTAAGCTTTGCAAAAATCATCTCGGTTTTTTTTTGTTCTACAGCAGCATAAATAATGATAAAAAACCCTAGAAGCACTACATACTTAGAAAAGTTATCATGCAGTATTTTCTTGCAAAAATCTTGTGCCCTAACGTTCGTGCTCCCTGGCGACTTTTGAATCGCAGATAAAAAAAAAGGCTTTTTCCATTACATTTTCATTTTTTTATTCACTTTTGCATTCATGGCCTCATAACCTTTTCGCTCGGTTTTCTCACAATTTTAATGTTGAACTTTTAGCAACCACACCTGTCGTGCAAATCGAAATGATATAGTCATGAGACAGTCACTACCTCTAATACTTCTGCTTCTGTACTGTGTTCAGTATTCGACAGCTGCAACACCTTCTGCAAAGGTACGAGTGCACCACCCAGTTTATACAAAAATTTGCCTTTTCGTTCAGAAATGCTCCTCGAATCTAGACTGCGAAGAGATTTGGCCGGGATCTACTTGTCAACGTTCACGCTGTAGATGTCCAGAGAATTACGTGCGTAGAAGTAGCCCAAGCAGAAATTGGGTGTGCTTGGCTGTCAACGATGCAGGTATACTTACTTTATGGATCCGAATTCCGTTTAGCTTAACTTCGAGCATTTGCCTTGTATATTGTTTTTTCTGCGCCGAATAGTTCAGAGGTCTACAGTCTAGTAAACTTTCGGCTCAACTTAGTGTGCTTACGGTGCCGAGATCCTGCGCTAGAATTTGCGCATGGGCAAATAGCTGCGCCTATAATTGGCCGCTTGCGCGCAGATTCCCGGGTTACCGTCGTTATTTGTTCACGTGCAAATTCTACCGCCAACTTCCGGCCCGCAAGCTACAGGCTGACCAGCCAGCATCGGTCCCGCCCCAGTATGCCTTGCGACGAAGCACCGTCGCATGCGATGTGCCTTAACGCGTAGCATAGTTCGCACGCGTCACACCGCACCGTCGCAAGCTGCCGCAGGCGCGATGTCGCATAACCGATGCTGGTTGGTACAGCATATATATTGAGCGGAAAGTCTACTATATACTTTGGCCTGACTCCAGACGTACTTCACAAGCTAGAAGACTACTGTACTCTACTACCTTTTGTCTCAGCGAGAGTGTCGCTGCCTCCCGCGACCCGATTACGCGCAGCCGCCTCGCTTGGGACTGCGCGCGTCCTTCTCATGCTTGGCAGCTTTTGATTGCCGTTTAAGTGTCAAAAATACCCAGAGAATACGACGCGGACGTGGCGCAGCGTCCAAGCGTGGTGGCCGTGCGGGACTGAACGAGCCGGAGACACTGTTATTGAGAAGGTGTAAGCCGAAATTAGTGACTAGTAAAAAACAACTTAACACAGTACTCCGCACTGAAGAAATACGCAGAAATTCCATCAATAGAAATTCAGCAACTGGCCAAGTGGGTCCGCCACTGACCTGTCCCCTACCAGATGGTGCCGGTTATCAGGTTGTGCTGCGCAGTGAGAATTCCAACCCACTTAGAGCAGTTCCTGTACTCTGCTCCGCCCACGGAAACGAATGCCAGCTTGGCTACGAATGCATCCAAGGACTATCAGCAATTGATGGACTGGATGGGGTCTGTTGCCCGGATCAGCGTAAGTCAGAGAAAATTTTGTAGATTTGGTATATTTGACGGTTTATGTGGCGCCTAGCCAACAGCTATAACACTTGCGCGTAAGCCGATTGCTGACTGTGCTGCCAACACTGCGCGTCAAAATGGCCATAGAGCGCATTTTCTCACGCACAAGTGCTGTCGGCAGCGCATCGACAACATAAATCGCCAAATCTTCTCGTCTATACATTCAGCAAGCGTTCACAATTTTTTTACAGTTACCACGTGCGCACATCCAATATTTGACCATGAATCCGGAACTCTACGGCGTTGGGGATTTGACGGGACAAAATGCATCGAATTCAAATGGGATCCGGAAAAACCATCGTCTGCGAATAACTTTAAAACTAAACTGCAGTGTGAAAGTTATTGTGTCAACATATATAAATGAATATTCTATGTACATGGCGCAGATTTTGCACAGGAGGAAATAGTGAAAACTTCATTTGTCAATCAGAAAATGAGCAAGTTGTGATGATGACATTTTTTCGAAATATATGTTGGGAACTAAATTTTTTTTAGACTATTCTAAAAGTTTTTCTAAAATGCAAATAGTTGAGACAAGATATACAGACAAGGAAATGCTCTCACAATAGGAGGAGAGATGGGGAAAGCGATGAGAACATGAGAAATAAATTTTAGCGCCTGCGAACTCTTTGCTTTTTTGAGACCTTTTCTGAGAAACTAATAAATAACAAATATTAGGGTCCTAAAAGTTCTTGCGCCGGATTTTCAAAAAATCATAACTTCCTTTCTTCTAAACGATTTTTCTCAAAAGTAGTTTTGTATGAAAGAGAAATTCTTTTTCTTTATAGCGGTGCCTTTGCCATGAAGTAGCATTAGTAAGTTCGAGAGTTAGAAGCAATTGAAGGAAATTAATGAAGATCGACATTTTTCAAACTAAATCACGAAAAATTCTGAAAATATTTTTATTTGATAGGAAAAATTTTGCACATTACAGTGGTACTTTTTTCATGAATTAAAACAATGTAGATCGAGAGATAGAGGCAATAAAGAGAATTTTTTCCTTTTTGCAATTTTTGAGCATGTCAAAAAAGCTTGAAAACGTCACAGAATAGGCGAAAAAGTCATAAACATGAGTTTTGTGACCTTCCCTTTCTAGCTGAGCGAAAATCGTGCCAATCGGGAGCAATTTTCATTTTCGTGATTTATTCGGATTTTCGGGTCTGCCTATTCTGTGACGTTTTCAGCTTTTTTGATCATGCTCAATTGCAAAACTGAAGAAATTCTCTTTATTTGCTTCTAATTCTCGATCTACTTCGATTTGATTCTTGAAAAAGGTACCACTGTAATGCGCAAAATTTTTCCTATCAAATAAAAATACTTCCAAAATTTTTCGTGATCCAGCTTAAAAAATGTCGATCTTGACCAACTTCCTTTAACTGCTTTTAACTCTCGAACTTACCAACGCTAATTCATGGCAAAGGCACCGCTACAAAGAAAAAGGTTTTGTCTTTTATACAAAAATAATTTTGAGAAAAATCGTCGAGAAGAAAGGATAGATGATTTTTTGAAAATCCGGCGCAAGAACTTTTAGAACAACCTAATAGATTGCCAACAAATAACGAAAAAGGCAGCAAAAATTCCGCAAGTGCACGGGAGTTACTATGTGAAAAAAGAACTTCAAGATTTGCAGAGATCAGCAAGGGATAACAATAGAGCTTTTGCCTAATAACAAGGAAATCAACAAAATGTAGAAAAAACAAAAAAGTGAAGTATTACTAATTATATGAGATGATAAAAAGAACATGGAAGTAGCTTCAGTGACTATATGCAAATGGTCTAGGGGAACAAAATGGAACACGAATATTGTAAAATTATATATGATCAGCTAAAAATGTCAAGGAGAGCGATCAGAGTGTATGCAGGTTGATGGCTGACTTTTGAAGATCATGCGCCCGTACAAATATGATTCCCGTTTTTTTGAGTTCAAAAACCGCTAACGTATACTAAGCGCATCTCCATGCAAAAAAACTCTCACTGCCAAGATTCTTCACAGACGTTACCGAAAAATGCGGTTAAATCACCGAGGTCCTCCAATTCTGCACTTGTGATCTGAGTGTTATCCAGAAGAAATCCTTCTACAGGTGGAGCATAACCATTGTTGGGGTCTAAACTGATTTATATAGCTTCATTTATAACCAAGTCGGCAAAATCTACTAAACTCTTACCGCCACTCATAACACCATTATAGTCCGCAGGATATGGCATAAGTTGCGCTGGCAGTGGATAGCTTTTGTACGTGTAGAACCCAGTGTTATCACATAAAAAATGGTAAGACAATACAAAAAAATTTAGTTCTGCTATTGCAATGTGCGCTCCAAAATAATCATGGAAAGGTAACGTTCAAACTTAGATTACCGATCAAAACGAGAACTCAATATAAGAAAACTACCAAACATTCAGAGCAGTCTACCGGCAATTAAACATAGGGAAAAGAAAAATGAAAACACCCGGTTGGTAAATAATGATTTTACCTTCAGATCCCATGACTGGTCCAACACCCTGACTCACAAGATTAGCTCCCACATCGTTCGAAACAGTTGTGTACTGAAAAAGAAACACTTCTAAACGCAAAAAATGACTGAATTATCGCATGCCTGACCACAGCCTGGACTAGACAACATGTAATAGGGACTATCACAGCTGGATTCTGATGCATTTCTTGAAACGCTACAGCTGTTAGAGTAACTGAAATATATCCTCACAGGAAATGATATTGTAAAATAATGAGTGATATCGTGTAAGAACGTTATGCTAACCTCTTGCGCTTTGAAGTACTGCTTGGAAGAGCAAAATAAACATCAAGAAATCTTATAGGTAAAGTGAGGAATTTGGTAAAAAAAAACTAACGTCATGTATTGTCCTTGCTCCTGAACGAATGATGCGTGGTGACAGTTGATCGAAGGCCTAAATACTTTCTTTGTCAGATGAAAAGACCGATTACACTTGCAAAGATTGAATTGTGACTTACCCCTGCTTGACTACCTGACAGCTCAACTGCGGGCGCATAGAAGTGTCCGACTCACTCGCTTCCAGAGAAGTGGTTGGTCCCAGTGAAATCTCTCGAATATGAATGATATAAATTCGCTGTCACCGCCAATCAACTAAACTCGCAAGCAATGAAAGAAATGAAATTAAAGTCCATCTCAGAAAATGATAACTGCGAAAAAAGCTCCGCTGCCGAGATTGCCAAACATGCCCCTCCCCCTCTTACACAGCCGAGGATCGAACTTCTTCGACGCTCAATTTACGAATTATAGGGTCGTCACTTCGTAGACCATTTTTGTCGCATGCTATCACGCCAGTAAGTAATCTTACCAGAAGGCGGAATGAGCCTTGGTCTTTTAGGCTGGGTCTCAACCTGGTGACTTCGTTCTCTGTATTGGTAGTAAACGCTGGGACGTGGTGCTGGAAAATAAGGGCTCAACTGGCGCAAAAGACTTCCTAAGCTTAAAGGCAGCGTCCAGGCAGATCTGGACCTATGGGGATTTTATGTGGAAAGCAGTGGCGTACCGAGAGGGGAGGGGCGGGGGGGGGGGGGACGCGCGCCCCCCCCCCCCCTCCCGAGAACGGATCGCGAAATTTTTGAAAGTTTCTTATATGGGTTATAAAATTGTGCAATTGACTTGTCTGCACTTGTAAATAATTAAAATAATTTTTAAAATTTTTTAAAAATCCATTTTGGCCTTATAAAAAAAATTTTTCGGAAGCGTGGCGTCAGCCACGCCCCCTTTTTCCAGATTTTAGGGGCCGGGGACCCGCAAAAATTTTGAGAAGCACCACAAAAATTTTTTCGGAGTGCGTGGCTAACGCCACGCACCTTCCTTGGAAAAAAATTTTTGTCGCGCCCCCCCCCCCCGCAAGCCGAAATCCTGGGTACGCCACTGGTGGAAAGTACTTTTGGAGGCCACTAAGGCACTGCCCGAGCGGCAGCGCAAGTAGTGCTCTAACGGCTGAGATATTCACCTCGAAACTGGACCCCGCGATCGATTCGCATGGATTCATGGCAGTTTCGCGCCAGGATCCACGCTTTGCGCCATGAATCCATGCGAAATACGATCGCGGGGTCCAGTTCGAGAGGAATATCTCAGCAGTTAGAGCACTACCTGAGCTGCCGGTTCGGCAGTGGCTTAGTTAGGGCCCCAAAATTATTATCCACTTGAAATTCCCGTGTGTCCAGACTTGCCTGGACGCTGCCTTCAAACATTACTGATCAACTTGTATACACTGCGGCTTCTGCCGCGATACAGTGTCGTGGGGAAAAAGTGGGCTAACATCAGTTTTTTACATTCTTTTGCGCATCACGATGGGGTAGTGGACAATATGTCGCCGAAGTGGGAGGTTACGCCGGACATCTGCAACAACTCTGCTGCATTGTCCGTGGACCCTCCAACATTCGGTGATATAAAGTCCTCTACCCATTACGATGTTGAGGGATACAACAAAATGCAAATAAGATAACGCCAGGCCCGCGTTTCTTCAAGTCAATGTACGGCCTTAGGCAGAGTTTACGCGATTTCATTGTCGCGATTGATCGCGACAATACGACTGTGACAATATCATTGCGTGCCGATCTTCTTGCATTTCGGTTGTGACAGTTTTCCAACACGACTAATCGTGACTAACTATTACAACCGAAATACAAGAAGATCGGCATGCAATGAACTCGTCACACTTGTCGCGCGATTTCATCGTCGCGATCAATCGCGACGATGAAATCGCGTGTCTGTTCGAGGCCTCCTGCAGCGAAACCGCACCGTCCACAAGCTGAATCAATGGACCCAACAATAGCTAAAGGCTTACTTGCTGAGCATTCGTTCTCGAGCGCTTCATCAACGTCATCGCCAATGCGATATATCTTGTTTGGTGAAGAATCTGTCTGAAAACTGACATAATGCATCTCTTTCCCACCCACAGAGTATTACTCACCTGGTCCGCACCATTCGCCATCGCAGCTGCTGCTTCCAAATCGATGTTTCTTCTTGATTTCTCAAGAATTTCGTTGATGTAATTCTGCACCTCCCGAACCGTTGTCTCTTGGGGAGTGATGAAGAATCTTCGCGGCGAGTTGTCTTTAGCAGAAGTCACTTCGATTTTATAAGTATAATCTAAAAGAAAGGCATGTGATACATGATGAAGCACTTTGCATAGGGAGCTTACCACTGATAGAGAAGTGCTTCCGCTGTGGTTCTAACTTACAAAACCAACAACGTGAACAAATTTCACGTATAGCAAGGTAGAAGACCGGATAATGAAATCGCGATTTGAAGAGGATGCGTCTAATTGAGAAAAAAAACATGGATTGATGGCCGATAGTAAATAAGTACGTACAGCTGACCGGGACCGCAGTGCCCAAAGGCTGAATGCAGTTTCTCCAGCACATCTTCAAGTTCCTGACGACTATCAATCCGATATCTGCCGTCAATCAATATTTCAGGAAGTTTCGGCTGTCTATAAGCAACCAATTAGCAGAACATGCGTATTTCACTTGTCGCAAAACTTTAGATCGAGCAAAGCTTAGTCTGAGAACGAGAGCAAAGTATAAACGATTCATCACAAGCACAGACTGGACGTTGTTGCATCCCACCGAGATACTTCGTCCATGGGAGAGACAGCAGACGGCGAGAAAGGTGAAAGAGCGCTCGACCAGCGAGACGCCCGCAGCGTCCGTAGTGACGCCCTGTCTGTGGCTGCCATGAATCGCCGCCTGTGTTCCAGAGTGTTCTACATATTTTATTTTTGGGCAACATAACCAAATAATGAAAACTGCGGATTTCTACAATAATGAGGTTTTCCATAAGAATGATTAGAAGCGTGATTAGTAGAGGTTTGTACCTCAGGAAAATACTTTTTTTGCACATATTGTTACTCATGCGAAAGACTGAAGATTTGAAGAATACGTGACAATTTTGCCCTAGTTTTTTGAAGTAAAAACCCACGGCCTCGCACATCTTGTTACGCTCTTTTGGAACAGCGCCAGATCGACTTCCTTCGCTGTTGAACGTATGCTTACGTCATAACCTCCCTCGGCATCACGCTCGAAACTCAGTAAGATAGAACCAGCTGAAACATATAAACTACAGCAAAAAAATTACTGAATTTTTGCCTCACCGCATTCTACACGGCAGGGAAACCATCGTCGAGTCGCATTTTTCTCACGACATTCACAGTGCTTGATTACGCTGTAGGCAGTGAGATCAAACGGCTCATTCGACCATACAGCCGGTTGTGCCACCTTAGCACTGGAAAATATCCGTTTCCAGAAGTTTAATAGTCTGTGTCATCTACGCAAACGCTTGCATAGAAACTACGCAGCCGCAATGCAATGACATTGCACGCGAAATTGCGCTAGAACACGCGCGAACACGCCCGCGAGCTTGGCGCGAAGCTCTGCCTGAGATTGCGCGACTGGGAAACGGACTTCGCGATTGACACAAACTATAATTGGAAAGGGAACTTGGACATTCAACGTACCATACTTCAGCGCTACAGTGTCCCAAATTCTCATGAATAAACTTCATCACATGAACAAGTTCTCCACGTCGCAATACATGACGATGAAGCCCTCGTGCTCGTCCTTCCACCAAAACTCCATGTTCATTTATGTAGTACGCTTCACATTTCCTCCTAAATGGAAATCTATAGAGAAATTAGTTAGTAAACACTGCTCCCCAAACATATCTTTCTAGTCGACAAACCTAAAGTCGGCACGAGCTTGCTGTCTATCAGTTGCCAGTTTCAGGAACTGAGGAAGTGTTCGATTCCTCAAGTAGTTTACAATGCCATCATACATGCAGTCCTTCTCGTGAAATGACGGAGAAAAATGTGCCTGTAAAAAAGCTCGACATCGTTATCGCGCTGCTTCAATATATCTTCACCATACGAAGCTTGCGAATACACCAATGCTAGCCTCTTGGAGAAACACCGACGCCAACGCTGCGCGGTAATGCTCTAACCGTCTGCGTATCTTTCGTTCAAGTTTTCTCTGCGCGACTCAAAGGCTTCTGTGTCGACGCAATTCCTAGTCTGCGTTTTGCGCCGGGGACTATACATCAACTATGAGAGTTTCCAGTTTCCGTCAGACATACAGTCGAGATGGTTTACGAATCATAATGGGGAAATTCATAAAATCAGATGGAAATCACTTTACCTGAATGCAAACAATTTCGGAATGACCGCGACGCCGAGCTGGGGTAGCTAAAAAGCAGATTTGTAGCCGACTTACACAATATTGTCTAAACGTTTATCGAATACTTACGTGGACTACAAACACCTTCAGATGTTGTCGGTAACTGGGCGGATCGTGGGGCTCGTATCATAGTTCTAAAACACGGACTAGAAAACCTATCGAATTTTATTTAAATACCTATTGATAGTCGCAAAAAGCACTTCGCAGATAATTAGCGACTCAGGCTAGTCGATAGAGCGATGAGCGGACAACACTGCACTACCGTAACCATTATCGTGGTAGGAATGTCGCTCATTTTTCTTGAATCTGATGTAAATTACTGATATAAGCAACCTCGTGTCTTTTATGAATGAAGGTTCTGATAACATGAAAAAACGCTCTTCATATGCGGTTCCAGTAGTGTACTTGCCACGCCGACAAAAGTTATATTTTTCACAAAGATTTCGTTGATGTCTATACGATGCAACTCAATATGACATTTCAGTCATTTCATGCACATACAAAGAAAAAAGAATGCCAAGAAATACATAAAGGGACGAATACCACAATAAAACACCGCCTCCGCCGCTGCTAAGGCTGCGTTCATACTGACTTCGAAGTCCGGGAACAGTTCCAGCACAGCGTTCACTTCGAGCACTTTGCTGGAATTGTTCCCGAACTTCCAGATCAGTATGAACACAACCTAAGGTAGGTGCCAGAGTAAGCGAATATTTTGTTCAGGTTGGGGTCCCGCACAGATGGACATCACTCATACTGGCGTTAATCCAAGTGACGTCAATTCTGCGCCGGACCACAACTTAAAATATTCGCTTACTCTGGCACCTACCTAACCCTTTCGGGGTGGAGGACTATACTCAGACACTGGGACCGGCCCAGCCGCGGCCTCAAAAGGCCTTTCCGGCCCGTCCGCGGCCTTAATTTATGGGCGTGGCCGGAGTCCGGCCGAGCCGCGGACCTTAATTCATGGCACTATCATCGCACCGGCCGAGCCGCGGACTGAATATGGCTTACCGGCTCAGCCGCGGCCCCAGTGATGGGGGTGGAGCATTGCACCGGCTGAGCCGCGGACCAAAATCTTTACGATGAAACTCCGGCCGAGCCGGATAAGGTCCGCAGCTCGGCCGCTCCCAGTATCTGAGCGTTAAGAATACTTGCGTGATGTACGACGCATGGTCAGGCTGCCCTCAGTGTTCATAGCCTTCGATGTCTTTCCAGTCTCCGAGGCGGGAATAAGATCAATATGTTGTACAACCTTGGATAGCATCTTGTGCTTTCCAAGGTCGAAGTCGGACCTGATTTCCGAAGCCGATATATCGGTGGCCTCAATTTTTGTTTTTCTTTTACTGTGTATGTTCTATATGCCAGTGAATAAAAAAACAGTTCTACTGTATCCGAGCTAGAATGAACTAGACAGCCCGACAACCAGCACCGGTTGAGCCGCGGCCCAAAAACGGACGAGCCGAGGCTGTTTTCCGGCCGAGCCGCGGACCATTCACCGGCTGGCCCGCGGACGCTGCGAAATTCCAGCCGGAAATGGGCCGCGGCTCGGCCGGTCCCAGTGTCTGAGTATGTCGCCGATTGTAGGAAGGTCCCGCGCGGACCCCCTGCAAACATACCATATGTGTGAAGGGGTGCGTGTTTGTTGCAGATGACCGCGGAGGCCGCCCATTTCGGCGACTATAGTCCTCCACTCCATCCGTCCTTTTGCTCTACTACTGTACATCGTGTGAAGACCAGTAGGCCGTGGAAGGTGCCTTATTGAGGTGTAGGGCATTCGAGAAGTCATGACGATGGCGCGACCGCGCGCGACACCCGCGCACCTCCTGGCAACCACATTTTTTTGGTTCTCATCTCTACTCGAAGTTTTCCTGCTTAGAGATATTGGAAATGACTGAGCTTAGGGGGAGCTTAGAGTTGAGGCGATGCCTTTTTGTATAGGTGTTTTTTGATCCTGTGCGCAGAGACCGCAGTCAAATCCGTCGTCACGATTTTATAAACGATCTATATTGATTTATTTTATAAACGACCTAGTTATGTATTTGTTATTCTCCTCAGATATATGTAGGTATCTATTTGATAATGGCATGTGTTTTCCGATACAAAAGTGACTCAGTAATGCATTCGGCGCTTTTGTTCACTCGCAAAAATGTTTGGTCACTATTCCACTTACGATAAGAGGATTAGTACTAGTCTAGGCTGAATCTGCCAACATCTATGACTGTGGGTAGAGGAAATAATTAGGTGCCGCCTACGCGGATCACTGCTCTTTCGCGCATGCTAGTGTATACCGTGTTAGGACCCTGCAGTGCGTTGGTTGGCTTTTATCTTGGTTTCTTTTCATATATTGTTTGTTGCTTTGCTTTTTCGTATTGCTTCACAATGCACAGGCTCAGTCACAGAAGATTTCGACTTGTAATTTATCGTGATATCTTATTGTTATAGAAGCTCGTGTAGATTGTTAGCATTAGCTCACAACAAAGTCTAATTTTGAAGTATTGGTGTGCCCATACGCAAAACCGGAAGTCTCACATGTCAACATAATGAAACAAATGAGAAGTTAGAATATAATTGCCAAGATACAAAAAAAATCACTACAATTTTTGTATCTGTTTTCACACTATCCGGTTTCGGAGCTAAGAACTATACACATATCACAGTGAGCTATCGCACAAGGATTTACGAGTGGAAGTCGTCTACCTTCGAGTTTTTCCAAGTTTACCTAAAGCCGCGCTCTACCGTAGCCGACCCTATTTTTGAATTTGATCGCCGACTCTTTGCAAACTTTCACCGAGATCTGAGTTTGACCCCATACCCTATGCCTACCGTGCTTCGAGAAAGGGTACCTCATCCACAATGCAAGAACCTTGATTCCAATCGATAAGACCAGTTTGGAGGCCCGCGACTCTAGCGCGAACGTGTCACAAAATTCTTTCGTGACGGTCGAAAAAGGACTATACGATTAATACAGTCTGTACGCATGCAGGCATAGGTGCCATAGTGTGAGATGAATCTCACCCTCCCCCTCTCACTTTGAAGCCTGGCGTACCCCCCCCCCCTCTCCCCTCCCCCTCGCCCTTGGGAGATGGTCAAGAGGCGCGATTTTGCCAGCTGGGAGCAACTTAAAACTCCAGTTCCATGCTATGGGAGTGTTTAAAAAGTCTGAACAAAGCCCATTGATTTACTAGCTGTGTGAGGTAATCATCTGATAAGTTTGACGACTTTTGCTAGAAAACTGACTGGTGTATTAGGTCGGTGCAAAAGTTTTGTCAGTTTGTTCAATCCATCGGCAAACACGTTATAATAGAGATAAACAAACGCTTCAAAATGTATCCGACGCAGAATTTCTTCCTCTTTCCAGCTGCTAAGCTTACATTGCGTTTCGTTGCGAGAGTGACGAGATATTTGCTGGAAATTACAACCACTCGTTTTTACCATGTCCAACTTTCGCTAATTTTCAAAATTTTTGTATGAGACTTTTGGAGGAGCTCTAATAACCAGCAGATAGGGCAAACTTTCTGCCAAGTTATGCAATTTTTATCTTTTTTCCAGCTGCTTTTTCAGAATTTTGCTGAACAATTTTCCAAAAGTCTTGTGTTTTGGAAAAATCGCATAACTTGTTATTGCATCAAACACTGCGAAACCTACAGAATACCGAGGTTTCAACACTCGGTTATTACTGCCGCTACCATCACAAAGTGATTGAGCGATTTTTGCTTCAAAACATGAAGATTTTGAAACATAGTTTACGTCAGTGCGCACTCTTTTGAGAAATACTGCGATTTTCCCCACAAATTTCGCCTATCTCGGCAAAAAAGACAAGTGTTAGAAAGAGGAGAAAAAGTTGCATCGAATGGTGACTGAAATGTTCAATATTTTATGTTCTATGAGGTTAAAATAGGCTGAATATAAAATTTGGTCACTTCAAAAAATAAATCGTAGAAACTCTGGAAGACAAGCCGTAAGGCTACAAAAAATTGCTTCTGTTGGCAAAAGGTTTGCCCTATCTGCTGATTATTAGAGCTCCTCCAAAAGTCTCATACAAAAATTTTGAAGAGTAGCGAAATTTGGACATGGTAAAAACGAGTGGTTGTAATTTCCAGCAAATATCTCGTCACTCTCGCAACGAAACGCAACGTAAGTTTAGCAGCTGGAAAGTGGAAGAAATTCTGCATAAAATACATTTTAAAGCGTTTGTTTATCTCCATTCTAACGTGTTTGCGGATGGATTGAAAAAACTGACAAAACTTTTGCACCGACCTAATATTTAGGAAATTGTTATTGATTGCATTTTTATGAGTTTTTGATCTTTAACAATTTTGTTTGAATCGATTTCAAGATGATAAAATGGAACGATCCGTGTAATTATCTAGTATAATTCTTTGAGATTTCAAAATATTCTGGAACTTTATAAAACACTAAAGATGTGCTATATGCTGTCCATCTGGCGGTAAAAATCGCGCCTCTTGACATACACCCCCCGCCCTTCACTTCGGACGGACCAAAAAAATTTTTCTTTGAGGTGAGGTGATAGTGTGCATGAAGTGGAGTAGATCTGCGGTAAAAGAATCTACTTATAGAGTGTATGGAATGAGAATGCAAGGGACGAATTCCTAGCCAAGAATCTTTGTTCTAAAATTGGGAACCCCTCACTGAGACGCAGTAGCTGCTGAGGCGAGAAAATACTTAGTTTGAAGTTGAGAGATACGTTTTCAAAAAATCATATTTTAGGAAATTCATGGAACGAGAAGTACATGAGTCGGCATGGAAGGGCGCGTGGTCATGAAACGAATGATTACAGTGGAGCTTGACGTGGGCATATTGGACGAGAGGAAAATAGTAGTTGTTGTTGTAATGTGGCTGCAAATATAATAAATTGCCACTGTGTTTTGTTTTTTGTGTAAACAGTAAATTGAAATGTTGTACCCAGTTGAAGCCGGAGTGAATGAAGGCATGAAGTGTTCAGGTAAGCTCTTTCTCCGATTAGTACAATGTAAAGTGATCACAGACACCGAGGCAGTTCGAGTTACTAGCTATACCCCCCCCCCCCTCCTCCAAGCCAAAACCCCATATCTCGGTGAGGAGGTCCTCTCGTGATCTGCCTTCTTTTTTATTTTTTAGAGGAAGGCGTACTTGATATAACC